TTATCTATGGTATGATGTAGCTAGGGTTATTAATGTAATCTTGAACAATATATCGAGATTATTATTGTATGAAAAATACAGAATTATTAATGTAACCAGGGTTTTAAAATAAGTATAAAAATACCTTACCGTTAATATTATGTTTTTAAAATACCTACCATAAAGAACGTCATCGATTCTTTAGGGTTCGAACATCCCAACCACTCCACTAATGACGTATATCATCGATTAAAACGTTACAAGTTCAAATATCTTCGATGAACTAACAAAAAATTATAACTTCAAATATGATGTTTAAAATATTTGTTTTTCTATCGGATAAGTGTTCTTTTAATTCAAGAAATGAAAAGGTGAGAGATTCTAATTTTTTACTTTTTTCGATCGTTTTATGTTTTATTCAGCTGAGTGATACTTTTATTTAAATATATGGTTAGAAAAACGATGCAAAAGGGTTTATGCTTCGTGTTTCTTTTACGAGAATTTGATGCCAAATACATAAATACATATGTGACCCCACATAATAGATTTCCAACCCATTGCTTTGAAATAGATATCAATTTGAGCATAGTTGGATGCAATTACAAAATTTGAATATATTATAGGTATTACTTACTCCAATGTGAGATATCTTAATCCACTCTCCTTCAGGGCCCAGCGTTCTTCCTGACACTCATTCCTTTCTCCAATCCATGTGGGACCACCACAAAATCCACCACTCTCCTGCAGGGCCCAGCGTCTTCGCTGACACTCATTCCTTTCTCCAACAAAATCCACCCTCTTCGGGGAAGCCTTTCTCCAATCCATGTGGGACCACCACAAAATCCACCACTCTCCTGCAGGGCCCAGCGTCCTCGCTGACACTCAATCCTTTCTCCAACAAAATCCACCCTCTTCGGGGAAGAGACTCTTCGTTGGCACATTGCCTTGTGTCTGGTTCTAATACCATTTGTAACAGCCAAGATCCACCGCTAACAGATATTGTCCTCCTTGAGCTTTCCCTTTCGGTCTTCCCCTCAAGGTTTTAAAATGTATCTGCTAGGAAAAGGTTTTCACACCCTTATAAAGCGTGTTTCGTTCTCCTCCTCAACCAATGTGGGATATCACAAGTTCAACACTCCAAATGAGCCTTCAAAGTTATATTCACCCTCTTGAAATATATATTTTTTTAAGTGGTTTGGAGATTCAAATCAATAATGTACGTTGATTTTAATAAAAATCTCAGTTTTGAATAAGATTCCAATATCTTTAGGGTCCTTAGACCACATCGGGATCATAGGGACCCTAAAGATATGATGACTAAGAAAAATTTAAAGTAAATAGAAGTTACTACATATACCAACAAGGAGTACCTTCTTTTTCGATAACTCAATCATAGAAAGATTCATGTGAGTGAGGACAAAATATTATCGAAAGACTTGTGTTGGTCCGTAGAGATAGTCTTCACTTTTAGAAACGAGGAGTCAGTAACCTAACCATATTGTAGGAAACTGTCGGGGCCATCCGATGTCAAATTTGAACTTCATATCCTTATCTGAGTTCTGGGTACGGTTCGTTACAAAATTGAAACGAACTAAGAATCAAATTGTTTCGATCTTAAGAAAGTTGCTAACTTTTGAAAAAGTATATCAAAGTATCATTTGATAAACAAAGGTCGTGGACATGGTTTGTTCATGGCCGATAATAAGATATCGAAAATAAGGCATTTGTTCTCCATCATTGATAACAATGCATAATGCAACTTTTGGTGGCCTTAGAATATCAACTTTTCTTCAAGTGTTAGGTTTCCTCCATCTTGATGTTGGCTTTGATGGCGTGGCATCATTTGTAGTGTTCTCGGGAAGGAATCTTCTCTTTGATCGACGAATTTAAATAATAGTTAAGACTTCAACGAAAAAAATAAATTGCGGGATATAACCTCAATGGTCTTGCTAGACTGCTCAGGAACTTTTTACCGTTGCTCGGTTGAATCTTTATCGACAGTTTATCATTTGTTTGAGAAAAATTCATCGTTGCTATCAATTTTGTTTGATTAGCAATGACATTATTATTTTCAAGTGATAACGTCTTGTAAGTAGAGCTCCTTACTAAGCATTTTTATACTGACTTATACTACCCGTTTATTTTTAGATGGTACCCAAATTTACACAGTACATGATGAGGGCATTTTGGAGCAATAGGGTACGAGGGTCAGAGACGGACCAGAGTAATGCGCTAGGTTCGAGTAGCAGCCCGGAACAAGTTTTTGCTTTTTTAATTTCAAAAATGCTAAAAATAAAATTTTTAAATGTATAGTTTCCAATCCAAATTTTTCAAAAAAAAAAAAAAAAAAAAAACTAAATTATTTT